GGATTAGTCAGGGGCTTTCCCAATCCGAAGTATACTTTAGACGCTCTTTGTGAAGCATGTCAGAAAGGAAAATTTTCAAAAACCTCTTTTAAAGCTAAAAAGATTTTTTCTACATCTAGGCCATTAAAACTTCTTCACATTGACTTATTTGGACCAATGAAAATTGCTTTCGACAATAGAATGAAATATGGACTTATCTTTGTTGATGATTACATTAGATGGACATGGGTAAAAAATTTTAAACACAAGGATGAGTCACATTCTGTGTTTGCTTCTTTCTTCTCCCAAGTGCAAAATGAAAATAATTGCAATATAGTCAGAGTTAGAAGTGATCATGGTGGTGAATTTGAAAATAAAGATTTTGATTTTTTTATTCTAATGGCATAATCCATGATTTCTCCTACCCTAGAACTCCATAACAAAATGGGGTTGTAGAGAGGAAAAATAGGACATTGCAAGAAATAGCTCGCACCATGATCCAAGAAACTCAAATGGCTAAGCACTTCTAGACAGAAGCAGTAAATACTGTGTGTTATATTCAAAATAGAATCTCTATAACACCAATTTTGAGTAAGACTCCTTATGAATTGTGGAAGAATAGAAATCCCAAAATTTCTTATTTCCATCCCTTCAGATGTGTATGTTTTATATTGAATACTAAAGAGAATCTGGGGAAGTTTGAATCCAAAGTGCATAAGTGTTTGTTGTTAGGATATTCTGAATGATTAAAAGGTTTCAGAGTCTATAACACAGAATCACGAATCGTAGAGGAATCAATCCATGTCAGATTTGATGATAAGCTTGACTATGAAAAGTAAAAGCTGGTTGAAAAGCTTACAAATGTGAATATAACGTTCACAGAACCCAAGGAGAAGATACAAGAAGATAAAGAATCAGAAGCTCCTACTTTGAATATTGTTGTTATTCCTTCTAATCAACCACAACAAAGGTAAAACAGAATCTCCTCATCTTATCCCGAAGATCTAATTCTGCGAAACAAATATGCTCCAGTCAGAACAACATCAATGCTCAAACCCTCCGATGAAGTGCCTCTAGGTTTAGTATCTTTAATAGAGCCAACATCTATTAAGGAAGCTCTTCTAGAAAATGACTGGATTCTAGCTATGGAAGAAGAATTAAACCAATTCTCAAAGAATGGTGTTTGGGATCTTATTCAGAAACCTAAAGGTTTCCATGTCATCAGAACCAGATGGGTATTGAGAAACAAGCTCAACGAGAAAGGTGAAGTTGTCAGAAATAAAGCACGACTGATTGCACAAGGTTATAGTTAGCAAGAAGGGATATACTATAGAGAAACCTTTGCACCATTCGCTTGGTTAGAAGCTATACATTTATTAGTTTCTTTTTTTGTAAATCATAACATCATTCTTTACCATATGAATGTTAAGAATGCATTTCTGAATGGTTATATTTCAGAAGAAGTGTACGTCAAACAACCTCCTGAATTTGAAAACTCTGAGAAATCATATTTTGGTTTTAAACTCAAGAAATCTCTTTATGGCCTAAAGCAAGATCCTAGAGCTTAGTATGATAGATTGAGCAATTTTCTTTTACAAAATAAATTTACTAGAGAGAAAGTTGACACTATAGTCTTCTGTAAAACCTTCAAAAATGATATTCAGATAGTTCAAATTTATGTTGATGATATTATTTTTGGTTCTACTAATCCCTCTCTTTGCGAGGATTTTTCCAAGTTAATGCATGCTGAGTTTGAAATTAGTATGATGGGAGAACTAAAGTTCTTTTTGAGAATTTAAATTGATAAAAAAAGCCACTTACATTGATCAGAGTAAGCATACCAAGGAACTTCTGAAGAAATTCAACATGATGGACTGCACCTTAGCAAAGACTCTAATGTATCCACATACATTCTGGAAAAAGAAGAGGTGAGTGGAAAGGTATGTCAGAAGTTGTATCGTGGTATGATAAGCTCTCTTCTATATCTAACTACTTATAAATCTGATATTTCATTCAATGTTCATCTATGTGCTAGATTCCAATCTGATCCTAGGGAATCTCACTTAACTGCTGTTAAGAGAATTCAAAGTTATTTGAAAGGACCTTGTAACCTTGGCTTGATGTATGAGAAAACATCCGAGTACACTCTTTTTGGTTTTTGTGATGCAGATTACGCTGGAGACAGACTGGAGAGGAAGAATACATATGGAAACTATCAATTTCTGGGAAAGAATCTGATCTCATGGTCAAGCAAGAGGCAGTCAACAATTTCACTTTCAACAGTAGAAGCATATCACATTTCAGCAGCACTGTGTAGCCCTCAGATGCTTTGGATGAAGAACTAGTTAGAAAATTATTAGATTTATGGGAGTAACATTCATATCTTTTGTGATAATACTGTTGCTATTTGTTTAAGTAAAAATCCTATTTTACACTCTAGGGCTAAACACATAGAAATAAAACATCATTTTATTAGAGAATATGTTCAAAAAGGGATCTTATCTTTAAAATTTATAAATACAGACCATCAATGGGCTAATATTTTTACAAAACGGTTAGCTAAAGATAGATTTCTATTTATTCTGAAGCATCTGAAAATGGATTTTTGTCTATAGTAAGATTTCATCAGAATCAGATGTGTTTTAGTCTTAGTCTGAATGAATAAGATTCTGACTTATTCAAAATTATTACTTTTCTTTTAGAACCTCAGTTATCAGAAGATGTTTCGGCCAAAAATGTCTCTTGTCAGATGGAAACCTTTTGGTTTTTAAGATTTTGAGGATATCAAAATGTGTCACTTAATTCGATGTAGTGATTAAAGCATGTAACCTTTGGTTATTCCTAATCATTATACTATACTTAAGCTATGCAATGATCAATGTGCATTTTTCTTAGAATTGATTAATCATGATTACACTCATTTATTACTTCTCTTTGAAGTCTGTGAAGTAATCTAATTCCTTTTCTTTAAACATTAATTGTCTTGGATGTCTCAAATATTGACTACTCTATAGTGACTCAATAGTATCATTTCTTAAACCTTCTCTTAACTATTTATGTCGTCCATCATATGTAGTTTCTCCTCAAGTTAAAGAAATGTTTTTCTTTTCATTCCTTCTCCTTCTTTCAACTCTAGAAATTTTTGTATCCAATGGCTATTCAAACATTTCATGGAGATGAAAATCTTCTATAGGTGATTTATGAGAAACAGCCTAATTATGTGTCTGATAACGGTCTCCTCAACAGGTTTTTAGAAAGCCAGGGTTGGTCTGGGTATGCTAGCATGCTTAGAGGTCCCATTTATCCTAATATTGTGAAACAGTTATGGCTTTATACATCTATTATCCATGAAGGCAACTACATTAAATAAAATAACTATGATATTCCTTTTGTTGTCACTCGCTCCTCCATTACTGAAGCAACTGGGTGTACTCCTAAGTCTAACTCTTTTGATCATGGTAGTTTTGCTTACATGGGTCTTGATATTTTCCCAACAATTCATGACACTTCCAATGAGTATGAACCCAATAATCCAAATAATCTGAAACCTTTTGCTAAAATATGGTTTTGGTTCTTGTTAACAAACCTTCATCCTAGAGGAGAAGATCTTGATGATGTGTTTCCAATAGATAAATGTCTTTTGTTTTGCCTTCTCAACAATATTTCAGTCAATTTGTTAGCTGTCATTTTCAATCATCTTAAGGAATCAATCTTAGAATCCAGAGACACTAAAAATGCTCCATTCTTTATGGGTGTGTCCTATCTGAACTTTCTGAATCTAGAGACTCTTGATCATACTTCTTCATCCAAAATTATTATAGCTACACCCACACACATGCAAGGGCTTGATGAAGATGATGAATTTCTCCCCCCCCCCCCCTAAGTTTCACGTTTCTCCTCTTTCTCTCCTTCAATATCCTTTCTAAATTATGATTTTTAGCTTGGTGAGAGATAAGAATGAGACTTCTAATTCTTATTGGTTCATCCATATATAGATAAATTGACTATTTTGTCCTCAAGGCTTAATCTCATTTACTAAGATGTCACTCTATAATTAGTGACTAAATCTCATTTGCTTAACTTGATTATTCCACTAACTTCTTCTTAATTCCCATTAAGTCTATTGATTAGAAATTTATCATTTAGTCTTTCCTACTCATGCTTAGAGAATTTGGGGTATTACATTTCCCCCCTTTAAATACAATTCGGACTCGAATTCCTTCTGACTAGATGGTGTAACCTACTTACATTATCACCATAAATTGTCATAGTTTTAGGATCACTGCATCCCACTCTGGTTGGATATCTGTCGTCTTCAGCCTTCGCCAAGCTCATTACTTGTCCAACACATACCACTGATTTCTCACTTCTTTTCCCTTGATTTCTTGAAGTACCTCTCATTCACAAAATTTCCTGCTACCACTTTTCCTCCAATGCTGATGTCTCAGATTTACTTCTACACGAGTATGCGTAAGGTTATACATGTGTTTTCTAAACCCTTTAGCCTTGACATCTGATTTCTGAATGCTTAGGATGACTGTTTCCAAGTTTACCTCCACCGTACAACAAAGCTTTCTTACTTTGATCTTACCTTCAGCCTTGGTCGGGACAACTGACACCGAAATCCACAAGAGTGTACCATCTTTGCAACTAACCGTCTTGATAAATAATAACTTCTCACAAAAATCTTGTCAATACAGAGCGAGCTCTTAACAATTAACCTGTAAAATCCTCTCAAATGCTCATACACGTTCACAAGCGCACAAGACATAATCATAATGAGGCTATCTTAAGTAAAATCCTTTACTTGGCTCCGCCATCTCCAATGGTCACGATAGTTTGTCCAATCTTCAATACCCCTAAGCTCATCAGCTATTCTATAAACATCTGATTACTCATTAACCATGATGTCTCTTCTACGCCGATCCATCAATAGTACCTCTTTAGATTATGGTGGATCCTTGAGAGTCTGAGATGAACTAAACACTACTTCTCTAGTTCCTCTTTGAAAGATACATCCGCTAAATCCAAAAACTTGCAAGTACTCTATACTTGCCTATTACAAGCTTATCCTGATCCTTTCTTATCTGCTGTGCTACTCTATTCTCGCCCAATCTCAGGACTTCCTGAGGTATTCATAGTTTCACTTACTTATTCCAGCTTGGCTACTGATGATGCTCAATTCCTAGTAAAATAGTTCTTCTACAATTTCACTTCTCTCTGCAACCACATCGCTTTATTATTGCTTGTAGTAATTCCTTTTGATACTGATAATCCTTCATCAACGCTTCATCCCCAGAACACTTTGTCCAAGTCCTCCCCAAGATTAGGTCACCAATAAAATTTTAGTCTCTGACTAAACCCATTTGAAAGTCATCTTAGTCCATTTACCTCTTATGAAACATCTAAAGTTAAACATGCACTACCTGATACTTTTTTCGATTAATCGATTATTCAATAGTTCTTCTACTAAAAAAATAAACCTTACCAATCAATTCTCATAACTTCCAGTTGATCATGAAGCCGCCTATTTGCATAGTCAATGAGTTTCTTGTAGGTCATGGAAAATTTAACAAATTTGTTTCTTGCGGTATGAATTTTCCCACGTAGGTATACTTCATGCAGTATGTCTACCGGCAGGTCTATTAATTACCCTCAAACCTCTTGTCGACCTTGCAGTCCCACACTTGCAAGGTAATAGGATTTCCTCCCCCATTCATTCAAGTCATCGTCCACTACGTTCTCCTTTGAATATTCCACTACGTTGGCTTCTCCGTGTATCGACTGCCTCTGGGGATAACTAGATACAAACCAACCAACAAATTGGGGTTTCTTTACTTACCATTTCAGGAATGTATAAGTATCACCCAACATCGACTAGAAGTCACTAACTTCCCTAGCCGAAATCACTTACCCAAACCAGTGCCAGAACTTACATTGGTGTAAGTTTCCCCATATATGAGAAAATCCCAAAGTAGTATATGCTTGCCTCTAGGTTACGCAAGCACACCCTCAATGAGTAACCAAGTGCCTAGCGTCAAGAGCCTTGCACAAGCACACCACATAAAGAATTAGATGAATCTGAAGTAGTTTACGCCTCAGTGGATACACAACCTCATCTGTCACGAGTATTGAAGTGACATTTCCTAGGTGGCATCACGACCTCATAAATCATCAATATTCATATGTGTTAACGCAAATGCAAAACGTCTACATGACTACACAAGTCCACCGGGAAAAATCCTAGTGATGTTGCCTATGTGGCACCACTAGAAATGAGTTTGAAGTGATATTTCCTATGTGGCATCACTATCCCACAATACCAAGCATGCCAATGAGTTATCCTCAAGTTGGTCAATGCCCTATAAGACCCCCATGAGCAAATCACAATGGTAGCTTAGGTGTGTACGATATGCGAATTACCACCTAATAGTATAGGCCACTCTGCATTCAAGCATATACGAGAGAAACAATTTTGAAGTTTACTGTGAATGAACAATTATGAAAAGAAGTAGACAACACTAAAGTCTCCACTGCACTTATAGTCATGATATATTTATAACTACACAGGTCTCCCTTGAGTCCTTCCAGTCCAACTCATTAGGAATAGCAAATCCTAAGAGTGCCATACTTCCTAGGCTCATTCATTCCGGACATAAACAACCTATGCTTTACCTAAAGAAGTTCAAACACAATCACTTCCGTGTATACAGTCACCCACACAAAACATGTATACGAGACTCATAGGGATATCCTTTAACCATGCATACTATCGAACAAAAACAACATTATGGTCCGTAAACATCACGTTGATACTTTTAATATCCATTGGTCTCCATCCACCTAGTTACCTACTTAATTGATCCGCTTAGGAGTGAGGGACTTCTGATCTATAGAACAATTGGAGATTAACTATGCACACCTCCTACAGGTTAATATTCCAATTCTAATCATGACTTGTTCCAACACTAACACACTGATGTTCCTAATGCGTTTCTCAATGGTGTCTTCTTGTCCTACTGTTCCTCCATTGAACATGACAATATTCCCACTGTTCCAATTGATATCCCGTAATCTGGTGGCTTTACATTATACTCTACTACTTCCAACCAACCCTTCATAAGTTCACCTGCCATACGACCCATCTTAGGAAGTTCACCTTATTGAAATGGGAATCATGGAAGTTCCCATTCCTGAACTTCGATCATGTAGATTGAGATTGCTGACAACCTTGCTTCTGTAACACTACTCAACATGGAAATCCTCAATGATCTCCCACCATCGTTGCTGATATTGCACCCTTACCATCTAACGATCCCCATATCTTATCGACCCTACGGTTCGAGATTGAGTCCATCTGATTACCGCGTCCTCATGGTGGCTCTGCCGCAATCCTACATATCACTTATTCAGTTAGTAAGTTGATAGTGTTCAGCAACTGAATAACATGATAGTAGAATCAAGATAGCAACATACATATATGAGGAAGAAAGAGGTTACTAATGATGTCTCATGGCTAGGTCGAGGGTTGATCTGCTCTGATACCATATGTAATATCATACTAATACGCGTCTAGAATCATATCCGTAAAATATTAATAATTGGTATTGAGTATATACAAAAGCCGGAAAAAGATATACAGTGCATACATTTCACGAATTACATTGAAATTGAATACAAGATATACATCAATACAAGCAATATTAATTAGACATTGAATCACACTCCAAAAGGGATGGCAATCACTAATGCATTTTTATCCAATCAAGAGGTAAAATCCCGAATTCATGTGCAACCTTCATGTATTTGATTGCCTAGATTAATATCCCAATCCAGTTACACAACTCACAGTCCATATTCATATTTAGCATGAATAGGAAACAATTAATGGTATTATCATACAAGTTAGAACATGCACCCACACAATTTTCATAAAAATATCATATGCAACAAGGGTTCTTAGTTAAGCAAAGGGGATCAAAAACTAAGCCTAAATCCCTTAATCATATCAAACCAAACTCCTGAAATCTATCCCATATAACTATTTAATGGAACCCACATTATATGACGTCTGATTTTGCTTCCGTTCTCTTGTGCCACTTCAAAGCTCGACAACTCGTATGTTGATTTCGGCATAATTCAGCATCATACTTCTATCTTTAAACGCACATTCCGACCTCATAACAAACATTCAGATAACGAAATTAGTGTCTAAACTGAAGGGAATTTTGTGTAGATTCCAGAAAATCAAGAATCATGTTTATACAAGATACATAGAGAAAGTTATCACCTGTTTAGTGGAGGCTGGTCAAGGAATCCGGATATGCACACTTCTACAATTTCTTTGAACACCCATCCCTAATTCTTGATCTTCAAACCCTAACTTCTCTTGAGAAGGTGATGGAGATGATTAGTATGGTTATTCTTGCTCTTGATCGTACTTCTTAATCTGAAATTGTTAAAGCTACACCCACACACATGCAAGGCTTGATGAAGATGATGAATTTCTCTCCTCCTCCCCAAATTTCACGTTTCTCTTCTTTCTCTCCTTTGATATCCTTTCTAAATTTTTAATTTTAGTTTGGTGAGAGACAAGAATGAGGCTTCTAATTCTTATTGATTCGTCCATATATAGATAAATTGACTATTATCTCCTCAAGGCTTAATCTCATTTACTAAGATGTCACTCTATAATTAGTGACTAAATCCCATTTGCTTAATTTGATTATTCCACTAACTTCTTCTTAATTCCCATTAAGTCTATTGATTATAAATTTATCTCTTAGCATTTCTCGCTCATGCTTAGAGAATTTGGGGTATTACAATATTGATATTATTATACAAATACATCATACAATAACACAAACAATAAAATTTATCAATAAAAAACATCAACTAACCTTTACAAAACAATAAAATAACTCAACAAAAATATCACCATACATCAACAAAAACATTTTAAACAAACAAACAACAACATTTATTAATAAATTACAACAACTTACCTAAACAAAACAATAACATACCTCAATAAAAACACAAACATAATTCAACAAAAATATCTAAAATAACACAAATGAAGTTGGAAAATAAAAAACACCTCTTAATCCAAATCATTTACCATCAAAATATACATAATAACATGATGTTCTTCCCTTTGTACAAATCTATAATTTCACTTGTGAGCCAAACATTTATACAAAATATCTCTTTCAACAAAGAAATAAAGTGTAGCACTAACTCTATTTTCCAACAAACAATCCTTTCCCTTATCTTCACCTTTCCTAAAATTCTTTTCCATATTTTCTACAAACACATTCTTATCATATATGTAAAATTAAGAATGACGAAATGTATAAGTTTATAGTTTTAAATTTAAATATTAATGAATGAATCAAAATAACTAACTAATTTATCAACAATACACTGAAATTTATTTTAGAAAATTCAATCTAATCCATATGTTAAAAATAAAATCTTTTTAATATTAATATATTTTGAATGGATGAATTCATCTATAAATTATTTTAAGTATTTTAATTTATTTATTACAAATTAATTGTTAAACATTACAAAATTTATTTTTTAAAAATATTTATCATAAATAATTTGTTTTTGCAACAATTTTTTTAATTACATAAAACAATATTTAATCTCTTTTTCAAAACTAGAAAAATCTATTTAGTATTAAAATATAAAAATTGAGACCAAAAACATATAAAATTGCTACTAAGTTGCCAACAAACCATAATTTAGTGTCTTTTCAAAATAAATAAAAAATTATGCAGTATTCATAATGAGACAAAAAAAAAAAGACATATGAGACCGTTTCAATTTGTTATATTAGGATTATGTTTGGGTTAGGTAGAACACGATTTTGAAAAATGTGCATACATAATAAGACAATATTGTGTTTTAAAAAAAATATTTTTCTTGTTAATAAAAAACAGAACTTAATTTTCAATCTATCAGAGATTTTTTTGTTAATTTTGTTTGAGTCAAACGATGAATTTTTGGGCATATATCTCACTTCCCAGGCGTAATCGGTACTACCGAGTGCACAATATCAAGTAAATCACAAAACATTCATTTATATGAAAAAACTTAGCCACATGTTACTTTTTTACTCCAATTCTATTTTTAGTATTAAACACCTTTTTCATTTGCCTTATTGGATCACACTATTTTTATTATTCACTCACAGGAATATCATCTTGAAAACCGTTTCTCTTTCATTCCTAAAACCTTCTTCCATAGCTCCTAATAGCAGAAACACAACGTTTTACAATCACTTTATCAAGTGTATTGAAATAAGTAAGAACTTCTATTTCCTGTTTCATTTTCTTTCCTTGTCCTATACTGAACATCAAAAGTTTACTCAAAACATACTTGTTCGTTGTCTTCTTCTCTGATTAATCACTATTACATTCATATCATATGCTTAAATCCATGAGCCTTTCAGACTTTTTCTCTCATTTTGATTGCTTATTTTTTTAGGGTTAAATATGTAAAATCAAGCTTCTCAAATGCACCTTTGTTTTGATGAAGATAAACTATTTTTACAAGAAGAAAAATATTATTGATCAAGCTAAAAGTATCTTTGGATAAAGTCTTTGGTTCAAACACTTAACAAATTTCAAGGTATAATGATAATACTTACTTTCAACTTAAGACATAGATGCTCAAAGGCCAAAAGAAATATTTTATCTTGTCCAAACTTTTACTCAAGTTTTCTAAGCAAAAACTCAATTTTTACTTATGTGCAATCAATTTTCATATTGGTGCAATCGATTACACGCTTCACGTTTTCAAAATGTTAGCTACTTTTTCTAAGTGCAATCGATTTACATGTTTGTGCAATCTATTTCTCTCAATCAATTTTTGCTACTGACTTCAAGTGCAATCGATTTACACACTTGTGCAATCGATTTCTCACTCAAAATATTTGAAATTTTTAGCTGTTGAAACCTCATGCAATTGATTTACACAAGGATGCAATTGATTGCATGCTGAACGATTTTGAAAAATAGCATCTTTACTCATGCCTGTTCATAACACCATTTCATGGAAACCTTTCACTTAATCTTGGTAATTATTCATGATTCATTTACAGAATTATATGTGGTTTCAAAAGGGTGCTATGAACATATAAATACTCATTTTTTAAAATCATTTTAAGCACCTCTTCCAATCATATTTTTTGAGTTTTCAAAAATCAAACTCAAGCTTTTATACACTTTCATACACAAGTTTTCTGCACACTTTCACATATTGTCAACCAGAAAAATTTGAGTATTATATATATATTGATTCATTTTATACTATTGTTATTGGAAGAGAAGATCAATTCGTTGATAAAATCACTCAAATTGATCATTACTACACAAACTCACTCAAATCAAATATTGCTATATACTTGCTTATTTTTCAGGATTGTTGAAAATAAGTTCAAGTGATTTTGAAATCTTGTTTTTCCAGGATTGTTGGATACAAGTAAATTCACTTTGAGAGGATTTTTCTCATTGTTGACATAGTGAAAAATCCAAGAAGATTGTTCTTGGTCCAAGAGGATTGTTCTTGGTTTTGGTAGTTCTTGTTTAAGTTTTCCACTATAAGGAAATCTCTTTTATGTTGAAAGGGGACTGGAGTATTCTCGGATTGTGAGGGGAACTAGGATATATCGCTTGTGTCTCTTTATTTTTCTGCACTTTACTCTTTCATAAACTTGCCATAAACCAGAAAAATAATATCCATCATCACTAAAACCAGAAAAATTTTAAAGTACCTAATTCAACCCCCTCTTAGGCGTACTTCGTACTTACAATTGGCATCAGAGCAGGTTATAGGTAACTTGTTCCTAAAAGATCCAGAATGGCTTCCGCAAATCTAAATCCCGTTTTCAGAGATGGTGGTAGTAACAACAAGCCTCCTCTATTTTGTGGTGAATACTTTAACTTATGGAAAATACGTATGAAGGTACATCTAGAAGCACAAGGAGAAGAAATATGGGATGTCGTCGAGAATGGTCCATTTATTCCTATAACGGTGATCAATGGTGCTGGCTCATCAAAGCCTAAAACTGCATGGGATGAAGACGATAAGAAAAATGTCTTCTATGATAAAAAGGCAATCAATCTTCTTCAAG